GCCTCTTTGTGGCAATCACAGCTTCTTTCCCTGTGCAGGTTTGTTATTTTTTTTTTTTTATAGTTTGATAGAGTCCCACTTAGGTTTTTTTCCTTCTCAGTTGGAGTCAAATCTGCAAAAGCATCCCCAAGGTTAAAGTCAAGGAGCGTCCCGCCTATGTCTCCTGCGGGTAGTGGATGGTTCCAAGGCCTGTGTTCAAGCCTTGCGTCTACTTTGAATTGATTTGTGTGTTTGGTGTAAAATATGAAGTAACTTTTTAACATATGGGCTCACGTTACAGCTAGTGTCCATTAAATAGGCTTTTTTCATTTCAGTAATCCATTTCCTTTCCTTTATTTCTCTTTAATGTATGTAAATTATGACCTTTACATTTTCCAGCATTATCCCAGACCACAAATATTTCACAGTCAACTTGACTATTCCAATTGGTCTGCAAATAATGGTGAAACCAGGTATTCGCTGGGTGACATGGATGTTTTATTAAAATGAACTTCTTATTGCGAGGTGCACTCCAGGCTGAGAGTTCACTGATCTAGCTGTATCTTCAGGGCTGAAGAGGCACTTATCCAGGAGATGATTTAGAGAAAGGCTTGAAGATAGAAGAGTAGTCTATGTCAGGCCAGAGAGGAGAGGCCAGTTCCCAGCTGGCACAGCGAGCCATAGGGCTTAGTTCGAGAGAAGACAAACCTGAGTGCACTGAGGAAGCGCCAGTCTATAGAAAATCTATTATCCTGAAAATCATGGCTTGCTATTAAATAATTTTTAGAACTGAAGGTAACACATTACGCCTGATGTTCAGGAGCTCACTGTTAAGATAGTTTCATAAGGCGGATTCATGTGGATCCAGGATAATTTAGGGAGCTACTGAAATTGTTCAGACAAGGGAACAGGACGTGAATTCTAGTGACCTCACTAGGACTTAATGGGACCGAGGGGAGCAGGGACAAGCGGCCTTGGCTGACTCAGGGCCCCGGCTTGTGTGGTGAGTGGTGATGCCTCTGTTCCAGAAAGGGAACAGTGGGGAGGCAGGGATGTAACACTGGGTGGGGGAAGTGTAGCTGTGGACATCTTCAGATTAAGGGGTTCGTGGGATCCCCAGTGGATGGTGGGGGAGACAGGATGAGAGGCTGGGTGGCTGCAAAGTGTTGAAATTACTATGGCCAGTGGGAGGTGGGTTCTGGAGGTCTGGACTCGGGAAGTAGGTGTGACAACGAGTCTGTAAGCAGTAAAACCCGGGGCATGCTGGACAGGCCAGGAGGATTTCAGAAAGTGAGAGGCGTGCGAGTGGACAACGCTGAGGACGGCCAGCCCGTGTGGATGCTATAGGCCCGCGGGAGCCCGCAAGCGAGAGCCACCCCAGAATTCCAGGAGGACTCGGAGGACAGTGTGACTCAGGACCCAGCAACTGAAGGTGTGGGCCACACTCCAGCATTGCCAGCACCACCCGGGAGCCTGCTGGGAATTACTCATCACGTGACGCCGTGACAGTGTCTGTGCAAACAGCATTAACTCTCCCGGGCACAAGTCACACGTGCATCTTCTTAAGTCCGGAAGAACCCATGGATGTCACCAAACAAGGGCCCTGTGCCCACACTACAGATGCGGAGATATTTCCACATTAATTCATTTTTCTCAGTTCCACTCATATAGACAAAAATGTGTGTCATATGAATGGCCAAGGGACAAGAGGTATAATTTTAATTTGTAAAAACTGTCTTGAAGAAGTAGTTCTGAGTCAGAAACACGTAACATCCCTAAAAATGGCCTCATGGGAGGAGCGGCGGAGGAGGACTCCCTGAGCGGCTCTGCAGCCTCCAGGCCACCTACACCCGTCGCACCTGCTGTTCCAGAAGGTGTCTGTGCCCCCACAGCCCTCACTCCTGAAAAATCCCTGACAACTGTAGCAACAATGGGAGCTTTCGAAGTCATCCTGACAATTCTGCTTCATCTTTTTAAAACCTGACACTTCAAAAAAAAAAAAAATCCCTAATGGTTTTCCAATAAAAGTAGCGATGACTCTAGCGCACAGATGGCTCACTCCTCAAGGAGGCAGGACCACACTGATGTCTTCACGTCCAAGGACGTCTGCAGCCTCCGGCCCTGCGGCCTCGGGCGCGCCCAGCGGACACTCAGCCGCTGCTTCCCTCTGCTTCCTGAGAAGCATCTCTGTTTTAGGGGAGCCCAAAATCAAGAATGTGGGTGACTTAGCCTCATCTGGATGAACCTGAACTGTGGGGATTGATAGGGCACACGCAGGCACTGATCACAGACCGACTTCTCAGGAGTTTCTCCTAGAGGGGAGACACGGCCAACACTGCCCAGTGTCATCAACAGATGATGTAAATCCCTGAAAACTGAGCAGTCCTGTGATTTTGTCTGTGTCTCCTGATAAAGAAAGATTTCTAGATTTACATCCGGATAATCCCTAGCCTGGTGAGAGCAGAGAACTGCAGAACGAAAACGCATTATTCAGAGTGATTCTGAGGAAGACGCCTGAACTCCTGCTCAGGTTCATTCCTTTTTTTTTTTTTTAAATACTGTGGGTCATCTACTGTATCTCTTTATTTTAATTTTTTTAAGATTTATTTATTTATACAAGCACTGGGTACAGTCAGAAGCGCGGGAGGGTGAGAGGACTCACCATAGCCAGAGTGGGGAGCAGAACAGGCAGACTGATGAAATACCCTGCTGAGGGGAGCAGCGGGCGTGACAGGAGAGCTACATGTGGGTTGCTCCCTGAGCAGCTGGGAATCGAACCCGCACTGCAGAGGCTGTGGATTGCTTCACAGTGCTGTGCTCAACCAACTGCGCCACCAGGGGTCAGTTTCATTCTTTAAGGAGAGGAGAGGCTGTTGCTGGAGGCCTGGCACAGCTCCGATTGCCCAAGGAATGGTGAGACCTCCAGTGAGTGTCTTCATTTTCCAAATAAATAAAATTAAATACACAAACACACAAAGCCAGTCCCCTGGGTGGCTGTAAAGCACACCCAATGAGCTAAATGAGTAATTATTAAGAACCCCTGGACTGTGGCGCCCGCACACTGCCTGGCCACCCCAGTCCTTGGCCAGGTCTCAGCAGGACGCCTGTGGCGGGGTTCAGCACCCCCTCCTCTCGCAGCGTCAGCCTGAGAGTGCACCTCCACTGGGGCTGTTGTGGAATGGCGCATCGGAAACCCGCCAGGGCCTGGGGCTGTTTGTCCTCCCGCCCGGCGTCCCTGCATCTGTCGTCCAGCCTGCCGCGCCCCAGTCACCCAGGCCTGACCCCAGCAGCTGCCCTCATCCCAGGGTGTCCTCTTGGGCCTGCCTGTCCAGGTGTCTCTCCTCCTGCACCCAACGCCGGGAAGACGCCACTTAACGCACAGCTGGGCTGCTCCCAGCCAGCTCCAGCGCCTGCGGGAGGGCCACGTCCAGGGGTCTCAGCAGGGCCGAGCAGTGGGGAGAGGCCGCAGGTGTCCCGGGAAGGGCTCCCTTTCGTGCAGGGAGGAGCGGCCTTCTGCCCCGTCAGGGGTTCCTCAGAGTCCTGACCCCCGCCCAGGGCGTGCTGCCTTCATCAAGTCCTCGGGTGAGTCTGGATCCCAGCTCTGCACGCATTTGCCTTCGGGGCCTCACATCCCGCAGCAGCCACAGCCCAGGCCCGGGGCTCCCTCCTGCTGGCCCCAGACTTGTCCCGGCAGCAGACAGCGCCACCTGCTCCTCCTGGTGACTGCCAAACTCAGTCAGCGGTTGGAGGGGAAAAATGCAAATTATGGAAAATAACCAAGCAGAGAGAGGGCAACACAGTGGAGCGGAGCCTCGGCCCCTCTCTGCAGCCGCCCCCCGGGCAACGCCCCAGCACCGCCCCTGGGCGCAGGGAGTGGGGACAGCTGGCGGGGCGGGCTCTGAGCCTCGTCCCCGAGGGCCTGGTGCTTGCCAGCCACTGGGGCCCCGTCTCTTGCAGAGGTCTCACGCAGAAGAGGTTGTGGCTGTGGTATTGTTCCCCCAAAACACCGGAAGCCCCGAAATTCCTCGTCGGGAACTGCGCTTCCACGTGGGAAGGTCATGGCCTCGGCAGAGGGCGAGTCCAGCCCGCCCGCCCCGCGTGGTGCCCGGCGAGCAGGCTTGGGGACCTCGCCACGTGTGCGTGGGGCGGGGGATGCTGTGGTTCTGAGGCCCCCAGTCCCAGCTCGGGGCGCTTTGGCCTCCTCCTTTGGGGCTGTTTGTCCGGAGCACTGAGGGGTGGTTGCGGATGCACCTGCGCGGGCTGTCTCGCCACGGGGCCTCCTCTCGCAAGGTCAGGCTGGCCCCAGGCGCTGCCCACCGGGCTGGCTCTGTGACGGTCCAGGCAGCTTCTCCCGGGCGCGCGATCCTGCTCACACCTGCTGGCACGACTCCCCAGGATATAGCCGGGCGCGGTGTCCGGGCGCTGTGTCCTGGCGCTGTGCGGCCGCGCCTCCCGCCACCGGCCATCTGGGCCAGCCGCCTGCCCCGAGCTTGCCCGGCAACTGCTGAGGTTGCCAACGGGCTGGAATTTCCTTTAAGCAATTCTAGCGCCTGTCCCTGGTGCTGCCGCTGCCCGTGGGGTGTCTGCAGTGACCAGAGGCAGGTGCTTGCTGGATGGGCGTTCCTTGGTGGCCCCCGGCCCTGCAGATGCTGGGGCCTTCCTTGATTTCCTCCTCCTCAGCCTCCCTGTGTGTTGGGCTGAGGAAGAAAGGGTTCCCACACCAAGCCGGGGCTGGCTTGGCTACCAGAGTCCTTCTGGGTGCTTCGCCTTTGGTAGTGTGAAGGCCCCTGCAGCCATAGGATGTGCCTGGTCCGAGCTTGGCTGGGCACAAGCGTGGGTGACCCTGGACACGGTGCAGACTCCCAGATTTTGATTAACTACCATAGTGTTAAAAAATCAGGCAAGCATGCTGGCTTTGTCTGGGGCTCTGCCCTGACCCTCTCCAGGAAAGTCTCCTGCTTGGGGTTTTCCCGTGGCACTGGTGTCTTGGCACCGCTGAGCCGCTCTGCTTCTGCTTGCAGATGGGCGTCCACAAGGTGTTTCTGAGGCACGGCCATGCCGACCGGCTCAACGACCTGTGCCTGCAGCTGCAGAAGAAAATCATCACCTGCCAGAAAGGTAACAACCACACACTGCCTTGGCAGAGGCGTTGTGAGCTGTGGACTACAAAGTTCACCAGGTGCCCCCAGGTAGATGCCAACGGGATGCACGTCCAGGGGACCCTCCTCTGTGCCAGCACCAGGCTCCAGCATCAGGGATGCCTGGCCGGCCCGGCTGGTGGTCATTGTCTCTTCCGTATGGGCCCATAGCAGCGTCCCCCACCCCACGCCATAGACACGCCCCTCGGGTCCACAGTGCCTCCGAGAAAAGTCTCCCTAAGTGACTCCAAGCAGGCACCCATAACCCCCTCCTGGTGCCCAGGAAACCAAGGGTGGGTCCCCAGCAGGTGCAGGTTCTCCCACAGGCGCACCAGCATCACTGTCCCCCCAGACGCCAGAGCCTCAGGCCAGGTCCTCCCAGTGGTCTCCTGCAGCACCATCATCAGGCCAGCGGGTGTCTCCCTGAGAAAGGGGTTCATCCGCCTCTCTGGGTTATGATACTGGTCCCCTTAGTTCTGCTGCATCATTGTAGAGTGGAACCAGGGTCACGGGTCTGTTCTGGCCAGCGACCCTGCCGCTGCTTGAGCCCCGGGTGCTGGTGAGATTGCAGAGCCCAGCCCCACCCCCACCCCAGTCAGAATCTGCATTTGCAGCCTCAGGCTCCGCCGGCAGCGGAGAGGGTCTGCACTGCTGTTCTTCACGCAGCGTGCAGTACCGAATTCTCCCAGACGCTGTCCTGAAATATAGATATAATGAGATGAGTGTGCCCCGTCTGATTGGCAGATTTCTGACAAAGTGCCCACCAGAAATTACCCCCTAGTTAGTGGCAAAGGCTGAGCTGCCCGCTTGCCCAAAACGCAACTCTAACAGCTCTAACGTGTTCAACACTGAGCATGGCCAGAAAGTGGCGTCCACGTAAAAGCCAAAGTTCTACTCTGCATGAATGAAACTGGCAGGACAGCATTTTTTAATGATCGGCTTTTAGACACAGCATTAATTATTGATGTTTGTCTCAACATCTCGGGCATAGTTCCTTCAAGACCGCTTGCTAGTGTGGAACTTACTCAACACTGATAGACCCTGGAGTCCGTTCCGGCTCCTCGAGATCGCTCATTTTTGCTTTGCAAATGTGCGGCGGAGAAAACCATCCTGTTCACTCTTAAACTGAGTCTTTTTGTTACCAGCCGTTCCTAGCAGGAGTTTCTCTCTGACTCTCTGTATTTCATACATGAGTTTCCTTTGTCCTGAATGACATTGTCAGACAGACAAGAATACCAGCAACTATTTGGGACACATGGTTTTAGTTGTCTCATAGTAAAGGTACCGCTTTGGCAACTGATAGAGCGCAGGGAAGGCATCTCCAAGGGCTGCCTCCCGGGGGTGGCAGGGGCCCCCCCAGGGATGCCCATGGGGGTGCCAGCTCTGCCCTGGGGAGGTTGGGCAAAGTCCAGGGTGGCCACACTTTACCTCCTTTTACTCACTGAATGCCTTGAATACACCCTCAGCTCCAAAAATAAATCCCTCCTTGCATTTTTTTTTAAATGTTTCAAGAATGAGCAAGAGAAAAGACTGGTTGGAGCAATTCTGTTCTCGCTTTCAGCGTGCGTCTTTGGTTAACGCTTCGGCCTTTGAGTCCACACTTTACTTCCCCGGGCGTCTGGCTGCACCTTTCGCCGTTTCCATTAGATGATTTTAGCGCGAGGGTTTCCCCGTTAACTGAACGCAGCTGCGTTCCCCTTGACTGAACGCTCGTCTCGCCGTCTCACAGTCCTGCTGGACGTTTGTCTTCAGCTCTCCAGCATCTCATCAAGTGAAGCCTTGAGCGTGAACACCTTTGACCACCCACACATTTATTCAATAGCCGTGGAATTTTTAAAGCACTTAATATTTTATAGGGCCCCCCAAAAAATAGTCTTTGCCACACACATTGATTTTCCCTGGAAGCTCATGTCACATTATAACTCTAACAACTCTCCCGAATCTTAGAATCTTAGAATCGCAAGGATGGCAGTCCAGAGGTCACAAGGTCCAGGTGGGGGTCCCCTACTGGCACCTGTCCACGGCCGCCTGGGAAGTTTGCTCCCCTAAACATGCTCAGGCACCAACTCCCTTTGCCAGAAGATGGCTGATCCAGTTCCCCTTGTGCTGATTGTTAGGAAGTTCTTTATTCTACTGATGGAAAGTAGGTCTCCCTAGGACCTGGCCAGCCGGGGATCTGCCTTCTGGACTGGGTCCCCAGGTGGCTCTGCCTTGGGGGGCCGGGACAGAGTTCAGCCTCCTAAGCAGAGAGAGTCCAACCTGGGCCTCCGGTTGGTTAGTGTGCTTACCTGCAGGAACTTTCTTGGCCCAGGGAGTGTTTCATTGTGTACGAACAAAGATAGTTTAGTGATTATCCTTGAATTCTGCCTTCGCTGTCAGGAAGAGCGTCTGGCGCAGAGCAGCTAGTGGCTCTCCAGGTGTTGACTTTTCCTCCTCTAGTCTGATGCTTGTTGCTGACAGGTGAGGGTTAGGGTTCCACAGCAGCTCACTTGTGTGTTCCCCGAATCTTGATCTTTTTCTAGCCCACTTCCCCAGGAGAGCAGGACAGATGTCCTGTATTTTGACACAGTCTCGTTCCAGAGTCTTAAGTGCACTGTCAGCTTTCCTTGGCATTAAATCCCAGGCCTATTAACAATAGGAGCCTCAGGTGTTTATCATAATCCATAAACAGAAGACGATGGTGCGTCTCTGGATGGTCCTTGGAGCCACATCCCAAAGTTCCCTGGGGTCCACACCTCGTTCTTCCCACTGAACTTAGTGCAGCCCACTGCTGTGCAACCTGTGGCCCCACAGGAAGCGGGCGCTTCAGCATAGCGTCCCTCAGGGCCTCCTCCTTAGCCTCTGCCTTCCCGTGACTAGATTCACGGTGCCTTCGTACAGGTGAGAACATTTGGAAATGCTTGCTCCAGGCTGAGAGCGCCTCCCGGCTGCTTGGACGCCAGTGGGCCGCGCCTTGTGTTTGGGTGCACCGGGCTTTTCCCTTGGGCTCCTGGCCTTGACCCATATGTTCTCTCTCCCAAGTTGTAAGGGGGTTCCTAGCCCGTCAACACCTGCTCCGGAAGAGGAGCCTCGGGCTGCAGGAGGCCACGAGCATCCACCGCTTCCTGCAGATCACGGAGGACCTGGGGCTGCGGACCTATGATGCCCTGGTCATCCAGAATGCCTCGGACATCGCGCGCGAAAATGACCGGCTCCGGAGGGAAGTGGGCACCACCGGCCACAAAGAGAAGCCAGAGGCCTGGGCCCCGCAGGGGGAGGCCGCCGAAAGGTAATGGCGGGCAGAGCGGCTGCGGCAGCGCCATGGCCCATCCACAGGGATCCTGAGTTTCCCACAGCCCTCCACACAGAGCTGAGCTGGCCAGGGCGGCGGTTTCGAGACCGGCGTGCGTGTTTGCGTGCATGCCCTCGTGGTGATGCCTGGGGACGCCTTCTGGGGTCCCCGCTTGTGTGGTTGACGCGCACAAGTTAGACATAGGAATTAATTCTTGTTCATCCCTTACCGTCGCAAGCGCTCGGAGTTTGATGGCATCGGCTATTTCTGTATTTGCTGGAATATATGTAGCTGAGCTCTTGACATTTTGGCCAAGGGTCATGTAATATAGGGCTGATGTCTAGAAACTTCTGGAAATCTGACCCAAAAAACGGAGGCGCCTCTGTGGAAACGTGGTGTGGGATGAGTGGGCGGCCGTGGCGGGTGTCACGCTGCACTTGCCGATGAGGAAAGCTTTGGAGGCTGAGCTGGACTGGAGACGTGTGGGCGGTCAGCTCAGCCCCCCTGCCTCAGTGACCCCGGCTCGCGCTCTCCTGGAGGGCGGCCTGGGCCCTTTGCACCCTAGTTCGCTGTCTGGGAAAAGTGTTTCTCTAGGGACTTGGGCACATGAACTGTCTCTCCCCCCCAAATGACTCCTCTTTGCCCAGACTGCCAATGTCAAGTGACTTTTTATTAAAGTGGAAATGGCAACGTGTCTCCCGCTAATTAGCCTCAAATATTTCAGTGATTAAATACTGAAAAAACTCTTTGTAGGGAAAACTGTAATTAAACATTACAGGGAAAACAAATTACCCGCCGAGCACCAGGCTTTCATCTTGGGCGGCTCTGCCCGGGCGTCGGGCCTGCCCGCAGCGCGGCGGCCTGCGCTGTGCGGCCCGGAGCGTAATTACAGCCCGCGCCGGGCCTGGGGGTGGCGGCCTCATCCCGCTGACGGCCGGGGGCGGGAGCGGCTTCACTCAGCCAGATAACTGTTAATTTTATATGACTTCCAGAATAATATTTATTATTTTCTCTGCTGGAAGTTAGCAGCCACCCCAATTTCTCAATTGGGTTGTGTAGTCGTTTGCCTGAGATAAAATGAAGCGAAGATGCATTTGTCTGTTTCTCGTTAAGTACCCGAGGTTCACTTGGCGTTGGGCAGCCAGATGGAGTCCCAGGAGCAAAATAATAATTCTGCTCAAAAAATGTATAATTGCTGATGGCATTTAAGGGGTGAGGAGAGAGGGAGGGGGCAGGAGAGGCCCGGAAGGCAGCGTGGCTAGCTGTGAGCAGGATGGGCGTCTGTCAGGCCTGGCGCGCTCCCGTGGCTGTGCCTCGGGCACTCTACGAGGATGGATTGCCTAGAAATTTTCAGACTGAATTCTGGGGTTTTGAGGGTTTGCTTAAGAATCAGTGATTGCCTGGTGGAACACAGGTGGTCCTCGAGAGGTGCTGGGTGTGTGCTCCTAAAGCCGTGAGGATGGCGGGGGCGGGCCCACCATCAGACGTGGCCCGGGAGGGGTGTGGAGGGGGTGCGGCAGGTATGTCTGGAGGCCGCAGGGAGGCCGAGCACTGGCTGCACGCAGGGCTGGCCCGTGGGGGGCTGGCCACCAGCAGGCGCCTGTCCCGTCGGGATCTGGCATGGGGCCTCCTGGTGAGGGGGCTTGTGTTCCGTCCCCCAGACCTGAAGACAAGGGTGGGCTCAGAACCTTCCACACCAGCAGCACCCTGGCCCCCCTGGCGGTGGACAGCCTGGTGCAGGGCCTGGCCTGCCCGTCCGGCCGGTCTCCTTCGCTGCACTCGATGTTCAGCCTGGACGACAGCAGTGGTCTCCCGTCACCGCGGAAACAGCCGCCGCCCAAGCCCAAGAGGGACCCCACCACGCGGCTGAGCGCGTCCTACGAGGCGGTGAGCGCCTGCCTCTGGGCCGCCGTCAAGGACTCTGCTAGGGAAGGTGAGTGAGGGGCGGGCAGCCACGGCTGGGCGGTGACTCCCGGCCTGGGGTCCACCTTGCAGTCCTGACATATCTTAATAGAATGAATCCAGCTGTTGGCTTGCCAGCAGTTCTGCACACAGCTACCGGGGTAGGAGGGCGGCCCTGCTTCGGTGGGAGTCTTGCAGGGTGAACCTACAAGGACAGGTGGGGGCCTCACTAAAAACAAATAATATGTGTTGGAAGCGCTCAGCCCCTTGGGGGAAAGCCGCTTTTCTGTCTTTCTCTTCACCACGCCCCCACGGCATGGAACGGGCCCTCCCAGCAAGCGTGGCTGGTGTCCACTCATGAACAGGCCACAGACACTCAGCAGACCGTGTGTCCATTCTCACGTCTAATTCAAAAGGAGGCCTGTGGAAAGACCCACGGAGGAAACCCGTGACCCGCAGAGCCTGTTAGTGAAATTGGGGGATGGGTCTGCAAAGCAAAAGTGTCCAAGGCCCTGGGCTGAGCCAGAGCGGCCGGGAGAGCGCGGGGCCTGCACGTGGGCTCAGACTCCACACAAACGGCGGGGGGTTGTAAGGGGGCGGTTGGAGGGGCGCTCAATCCTCAGGGCAGCCTCACAGGTGAGCTCAGGTGACCGCGTCCCGTGTTAGAGTCTAGAGCTATGAGGGTCCAGGGGGCCACCTCGCCCAGCACTCACTGCCCCTCAGACCGAAGCCAGGCCAGGATCCAGCCACAAGTAACACAGCACAGTCCCCTCCCCCAGGGGCCTTTCCTGGTGGGGAAGACGGACGAGTCAACCGTGTCTGAAAAGGCGGCTGCTGCCAGGGCGGCCAGGCTTAGCCACAGCCACGCCCTTCTGTCGGCGCCACACCTTCTAGTTCGAGCTCAGCCAGCGTTGTCCACAAGCGGAGCCACCGGCCACAGTGAACGTTTAGGCTGGACGTCACTGAAATGAAGACAGACGATGTCCGGGCCCGGGGTGCTGTCTCCTGTCCAGCACTCACCAGCCACAGCCACAGCCGCAGCGGCCTGTCGGCACAGGAAGTCCCTCCCGCAGGAGGCCCTGAATGCCCATGCAGTCCCCTGTGGCAGCTCCGTGGGCCTCCTGAGGGAGGGCCTCTGACCACCTCCTGCCTGGTGGGAAGAGAGGCTCATCGCTCTTTAAACGCTCCCCAAACCCTGGTTTTGGGCGAACAAGCAAGCACCACCCCAAAGCACTACCCAAGTACCCGCCTGTCCTAGGGAGATGCCACCTTCAGTTCTCTCCTTGCCCGCGAGAAGCCACTGTCCCTGCAGAGGTGACAGAGGAGGCGTGACAAGGGGCATGACAGGTGAAAAGGGGCTCGGAGCCCAGACACCAGTGAGAGGTCATTCCTGCAGGCCCGCCCGGCCTGTGAACGAGCTTCCCTGTGGGCTCGCCCAGAGGACGTGGCCACTGCCGGAGGCCTGAGCGCATGGTGGGTGGCCCAGCACGTGTCTGCAAGCTGTGAAGAAGCAGGAACCGATAACCCAAAAGGAGCGTTGTTTGATTTCTGGGCTTTGCCCCTGCACACAGCGACCGGGGTGGGAGGGTAGCCCAGCTTTGGTGGGAGTCTTGCAGGGTGAGCCTCCAAGGACAGGTGGGGGCCTCTGCCACCTGCCCTCTGCACTCACCCCAGCAGCCCATCCCTGCAGGGGACCCTGCAGCCATCCACGTACAGACCCGCCGCTCCTCGCCACGCCAGTCCTGGGCCACAGCTCAGAGGAGTCCTCTGTGGCTTACCTGAGTCCCTGCCCTTTGATGCCCTCATCACAGAAGCAGCCGCGGCCCGCGGCCCGCACTCAGCAAACACCACTGAGCAAATCGCCGCATGGTATAGAGACACATTCTCTGCGCCGCTTTCATCAACATCAGATCAGCTTCTTTTAAATAGAACAGAATTAGCACAGTTTGGCCAGGTACAAAATGTACCCTTGCAATTCCTCAGACTTGTTTTGTCAGTTTATTTTTAGCTAAAAATATTTTTATAGCATTTTTTTCTATTGCCTGAGATTTGACAGAAGTGAGGTCTCTGATCCTGAGCGCGGTCTCTGGCCCAGCGGGAGAGGCCCGCTTGCTGCTCTGACCGCCTCAACCGTGATGCGTGTCTGTCAAGTGCCCAGGGCCTGGGGAGGGGACACCTGGGCGGTGCCGTGAGCCCAGCGCAAGCAGGGGCTGCAGGAAACTGAGCAGGAAGAACAGGGACAGTCTGGTGGGGAGGGGACCAAGAGCAAAGGGGGTGGACTCCTCCCTCCAAAGAGATCGTTCCAACGAGTCTGCAGACTGGCACGGCTCAGTGAACCCGCCTGCTCCCATCTGCAGCTGTCCTCAGCACGCGACACTCCCAAGCAGCAGCCCAGCGGCTCCCAGCCTCCCTGCAGGCCCTGCCCAGGTGGCCTCCCGTACCAGCGTCTAGCTAGGCCCTGAGCGGCTGTACCGGGCCGGGTTGGATGCCGAGCAGACGTGCACAGAGCCCATGGTGCTTTCTGCTGCAGGAGGCTTGTTCCTTTTCTCTCCTCGAGTATAAACATGTTCTCCGCCAGGATGTGGCCGAAACATTTGCATGCTGGTACAAGTGAGATGTGACAGTCACCCCCGGGTCTGTGGAGCAATCACGGGGAACGGATTTCACGTGAGATCGTCGTCCCCAAAGGGAACTTGGAAATGACACCAGCACCTGGATCTCTGCAGGGACAGCGAAGGCAGGACTCAGAGGCCAACCCCACAGCACTGTGTCTCCAGAGCCTGGCCTCCAGGCCGGCCACCTCGACGCGGGCCTGGCCGGCCCTTGGACATCCGCGGGTGGATGCCTGTGTTTCATCCGTGAATCTCAGGACTGAAAAAATCAAGGAAACTCTGAATGTAACTTCATTATTAATCATCTGCCATTTCTCTCCCTGGTAGGAGAACCGGGGTTAGCGTGCTGTAGAATGTGCGCCTTTGTCGTACTTTTTTGCTGGTGGACCCCTCCCCGCAGGTGGGGGAGGCGGCGCGCACAGGCAGGTGCTGAGAAGGCCCCTGGGCGTGCTCCAAAGGCCTGATGGAGCAGCGGCGGGGCTGAGCCTGGACCCAGCTCCGCTGACTCCAGGCCTTTCCTTGGAAGCCCGCACTCGCTGTCCCAGAGCTGCAGAGCTGGACGGAGGCCGCCGTCCTACGTCCAGTCCTGGTGAGAAAACACCTGGCAGTCTTGGCCACTGATAAACGAGGCAAAATGAGATCTGCTCAGGAACATCTCTCACTCCACCCAAATTTTGTCAAATTAATAAAAAGTTAGAGTGAAAGTACATTAGAAAATCGTCTTTTTTTAAACTTAAACTTTTTTTAAACTTAAACAGCAACCAGTATTTCAGTCATATTTAGTGCTGCTGCTTTCAGAGTCCGTTTTTAACCAGTATTCATGCTCATTTATTTATTTTTGAGATTTCTCCCCTTTTCTCAAGAAGTTTCCACTTACGAAACCCCTAGTGAAACGTGGTGCTCTTGAGGCCCCTGCTAGACGTGAGATGGTGTGAAGGACTCAGATCCTGAACACGCGGCCCAGCGGATCCTTGCAAGCCAGCGCCAGCGCCACTTCCACGAGCCCCTCCCTGCGGCCGGTGTCCGCGGCCCCGTCCCCCATCAGAACATCGTCCGGTCTGCTCTTTACCCAGGAGCGCCCTGCACGGCGCCCACCCAGTTTGCCAGCTCTCCCAACTTGGTGTTCTCTCCTCTCGAGTCAGTCCCTGGATCCCTTCAGCCAATACCATGGCCCACCTGCCTGGGGTCCCTGCTGCCCCCCTCCAAAAGCCCCCCAACTCCACCCCCCACCTTTTCCTGGGGCTCACTCTCCACAGGTGCTGAAAATCCTGGGCAGCCTGCCCTCCCTGCAGGGGTGCCCTTCCGCGCCTGCCCCTGCAGGGGTGGAGACTGTCCTCCGGCTCCAAGCGCAGCCCTCTGCCAGCTGGCCGCCTGCGGGCGCGGAGGGCCTCGGCACGGGGGTGGGTGGGGACGCGGCCCTGGTCCCTGGTGGAGGCGCGGGAGGCCTGAGGCGGCGCTGACCTGTCTCCGCGGCTGGGCGCAGCTCACGCCCTGCACCGCTTCCCCCCAGCTCTCGCCCGGCCGCGCCCGCACAGCGACGACTATAGCGCCATGAAGAAGATGCCCCCGCGGAAGCCCAAGAGAAGCCCCAGCACCAAGCTCAGCGGCTCCACGGAGGAGATCTCGGGGCCCCGCGCGGGGACTGGAGGGGCGCCCGGCTCGCGGCGCAGGGCCGGCCTGCCTGTGCCCGGGGCCCCGGCCCCCCGGCGCCCCCCGCGCCCCCCACGCCGGACGACGCGGAGCCCGTGTACATCGAGATGGTGGGCCGCGCGGGCAGCCCCGAGCCGGCCGAGGCCGAGGCGGTGTACGAGGAGATGAAGTACTTCCTGCGCCCCGAAGGCGGGCCGGGGCCGGGTGCCCTCGCATGTGTGGAGCTCCCCGGACTACTGGGTGACCCTCCTAGCGCCCTCACCCCGGAGGACGGCGAGGGGAGCGGCCCAGCCCCGGGGCCCTGCAGGGGCAACACGTGTGACATTCCGCCCCCCTTCCCCAATCTGCTGCCCCACCGCCCTCCGCTGCTGGTGTTCCCCCCCACCCCGGTCACCTGCTCCCCAGCGTCGGACGAGTCGCCCTTGACACCCCTGGAGGTGAAAAAACTGCCCGTCCTGGAAACCAACCTCAAGTACCCGGTGCAGCCCGAGGGCTCCAGCCCGCTGTCCCCGCAGCACTGCAAAAGCCAAAAGGGGGACGGCGACCAGCCCGCGTCCCCTGGCCTGACGGCGCTGAACGGGACACCCCAAGTCTCCCCGCCACCCACGCCACCACCCCCGCTGCCCGCCGCCGTGCCCAGGCCGCCCGCGCACTTCACCTTTGCTCCCGAGGCGGGCAGAGGCACGGCCAGCCCCGAGCTGCCCAGGGCGCAGCAGAAGCCCAGCCCCGCGGCGGGGGGACCGTGCAGCTCCTTCTCCAGGGGCCCTCAGTCCCCCGGGAAGGCGGCCAGAGCTGACCACAGGAAGGCCAACTCCAACTCCTCCTCGCCGGTGCCCTACAGCCCCCCCAACTCCAGGCCAGTGGGGAGCCCGCTGGACGAGCTGACCAGCCTCTTCAACTCCGGGAGGAGCGTGCTGAGGAAGTCCGCAGCCGGCCGGAGGATCCGAGAGCCGCAGGGTGAGGCGCTGCGTCTCTGCGTGTCTGTGCGTCTGTCCCTGTCCACACTGTCCGCCATCGTCATGCCGCCCTCCGTCCCCGTTCACCATCTCTCTGTCCGGCCACTGTCTCCCTGTCGGGCATCTGTCCTTCTCCTGTGTTCTGTCCGTCTCTCTCCCTCATCCACCCGTCGCCCGCTCCCGTCCCTGCTTCTCTGTGCCCGGCACCTGCTTCAGCCTCTCCCCGTCTGTCTCCGGGCCCGTCTCTCGCCCTGATCTGTAGTCGGCCCGGGCGCAGCCACGCCGGCGGTGGTCACGTCCTGTCGGGACGACCTTCGGCGCAGGTTCAGTTAAAAACAACTTAGTGCAGCCCGTCGGCCAAGCAGGGGGGATTTGTGTTTCCATCTCGAAGGTTAAGTGTCACACGCGACGCAGGCTTGAGTCATTCTCAGGACGTGACAAGCGTTTGCTCCAGGGAAGTCTTGGCTGCGCTTCCCTTTCTCTTAACGATGCGTCCTTGTAGCCGCAAGGGTGCCTCTGGCAGGGCGGTGCGGATTCCCGGGGCCCCACCGCCGCACCTGCCCGGCTCGCTCGGCCTTGTTTGTGCGCGTGGTCGAGCGGCTTCCTCCCGCCCCTCCACCCCGGAGCGCGGGGCCTGGTGCCATGCCCTCTGCCGGCCCTGGCCGCCCAGCTGAGGCCTGCCCTGCAGGGAGCTCAGCTCTGGACTCCGGGCCCGAGGCTCCTGCCTGTAGAGAAACATGTGTCTTGCGTCCCTGTGACAGCGGGCTGCCCCCGACAAAAGCAGCGCCCCTTAAAAAGTTTTTGCTGAGGTCCCGTAAGTAGCTCGGCAGCTTTTTGAGCCGAGGGCGGCCTTGGCCCAGGTTCTGTGAAGAGTCGTGAAGATGGAGGCTCCTCTCCCAAGCAGCATCTCAAGCCTTTGTACAAAACCGGAGTATTTCCGTGCACCTGCATTTGGGGCCGACGTCACCACCAGGAATCCTCCTCTCTCTGAGGAGACGCCACCGTCCCTCCTGCCGGGACATCAGCACTAGGCGGGCGCAGCAGCAGCACCTGCCCACCCAGGGCCGGGGCCACACACTGTCCCACGGGCCAGCCCACGCTGGGAAGTAGAACCTTGCCTTCTGCTGGGACATGATGTGTGCGCTGCCCTGCCCTGCTTCAAAAGAGATGCACAAGCAAGGTTCCGACTTCCATCAAGGAGCCAAACACCGTAGCGAGCCCAGCAGGCTCAGCACAGTGAGCTGCGGCCAAGCTAGTGCCTGCCCCCGCCTGCGCTTCTGACAGACGGGCTGGCTCTTTGCTCCTGATCCTGCTTCCTCATTGTGGGCCGGGAGTGCACTGACTTGTTTTTGTAACCGAGACAACATTGGAATTTGCCAAGTCATGCGTTTCATTCCAAGGGACAAAGTGAAATCTCAGAGAAAAACATTCAATGAACACATTAATATTTGCTTTTAGGAGAAAAATTTTGTTAAAACCTTGTTTTACTGCGGGTGGGAATTGGGTCGCTCTTCCTGGCTCCATTCTGGGAAGGGAGCTAATAATTTCTAGTTCTGCCTCATCATGTAAAAACCCCACAGTCTAGGACTCAGAATATAGGGGAATCCCAGCGAGGCCTCCAGCCGCGCAGGTGAATTTGCTGGGAACATGCATCAGAACTTCACGTACAACCTTGTTAATTCAGGCCCAAGATTATAGAAGATCAGTTTTCCTGCAGTGGGCTCTTACAAAACAGATTTTAATTTGAAAAGGTTGGTTGGAGCCACTTACATCTTCCCCTAAATATATACACGGGCCCTTCTCTGCTCTGCTGTAATAATAGCAAACGCCGCGCGAGGTGCACCCCGGCCACCCCACACACCAGAGCACCCCAGCGCTGCTCTCCAGTCCTTGGGGTCCCCCAGGGGGGTGCTCACAAGCTGCTGGATGCGTTCTCTAGGGCCGTACAGGGCATTCTTTTGCAATAGAAGGGGTGACTATAAGAGGTGGGGGCCTTCATGCTGCAGCTCAGGGTCCCGTTTCCTTGTGAGTGGCTTGAGTGGCTGTTCCTAACGATGTTCTTGGGACTGCTTCCCAGGTTTACGTCTTCTACTTCACCCTCTCTGTGTTTGAAGATGCTCTTGCTTTCACCTGAAATAGCTTTCTACCCCGTAATCCCGCAAGTGGCCAACTCCCGCTCCGGCAGCTGCGTCAGTGACAGCTCGCTCCCACCACTGCCAGCAAGGAGCCTGCCCTGGGACACCACGCAGGGTGCCAGGCGGCCCCCGACTTCAGTGGAGTGACCACGCAGAGGTTGAGCCTTGCCACTGGGCCCGCTGCCAGCGTCTTGGGGTGTCCCGGGAGGGAGGTCCTTCTGTGCGTTGCTCCCCTGGATGCAGACGCAGGGTTTTGCCAACATGTGTCCTCAAGACGGCTCAGGGCCTGGGCCTCTCAGCTCCGCGCTCAGGGTGCAGAGACACCTGGGGGTGTCCCTCCTCTGGGCAGGTGCACGGAGACCGCGCAGGAGGGGCTGGGTCAGCAGCGGGCGTCATTATGACCCACCTGGGCTGTTTTCATGACCTGGTTAATTCTCAAAAGACCAAGGGCCGCTGCTATGATCAGCCTCAGTTTACAGGAGGGAAAGCCGAGGCCACGGGGCCGCGACGGGCTCAGAGCCCCTGCTGTGAGGGATGTGCTGGCAAGGACAGTCTCCTGTGCAGGGGCGGCTGCTTGGCTTCCCCCACGCGGGGCGCCCAGGGCTTCTGGGGGGAAGCAAAGGGAAGGATTTTAAAAATTCACGTTCACTCCCGGCTTGCAACAAGAGTCTTCCAGTTTGGACGGAGAAAACCGTTGCATAAACCCCAAAGGGCCAAACTGCCCTCAGCCGCTGGGCAGAGGAGCCGGCGGTGGGGGGGGGGTTCTGGTGGGGCCGCGGGCCCCTCAGAACGTAGAGCGGCTCCGTGGCTAATTGTCTGCGCTTTCGAGATACAATGACCCTGTTCGTTCGTTTGTCTGGTGTTGTGACTAATACTGCGCTGGTTGTTTCTAGCTGCCTAGTTTCAAAAATGCCAAGACCTGACCTCATTCCGAAACGGGGGCGAGCCGCTGGCGGGCATGGGCCACGAGGGGGCGCCGCTGCCCCGGGTGGCTGGTCCAGGGCGCCGGGGCTGGGAGGCGCTGCAGGGCCTGGGAGACCGGAGACCACAAGGCAGGCCCGGGACACCCGCCGCGCGAGCCGGGCCAGCCAGGCTGAAGCAAAGAAAAGCTGAATTGCCAAATACTCCAAGAAGACAAAGAAGACGTGCCTGCTTCCTGGCACGCACCTGGGTTTATAAGCTGCAGCAGGTGCTCGGAAAGGATGTCTGCTGAATTTCCTCGCACGGCACAGACGGTCGCCCGGTGCTCGCTCGGTGACAGACCCTCTTCAATCCGTCTGGCGTTTCCACTTCGTACGAATCCCTGAAGCCACACAGAAATTGATATTATTTTCAGATTTTATTTTATCACATAAACATTCTGAAGAATGACCCTTTGAGCCCTTACGTCAATGTTTTATATAAACTTTTTTGGCGGCACGTCTCTTTCCATGGGGCCACTTGCTGGGAAGGGGGTTCTTCTTGGAGTTGGGCTCATGGACAGTGTGCAGCGCGCAAAGCGAGAGACTGGGCGGTGCCTCTGTGGCCAGTCGGCCTGGCCGTTGCTCTCGGCGCCATCAGAGTGCTTTGACGCGCATGCCAGGGTCAGATGAACGTACTAGTAAGTATTTGTAAGTGTTTCGTTGAAGAAGTGCTTCAGCGAGCAGGCGAGACCGGCTCTTCCATCCCTTTGGTGAGTGCGGGTTGTCCATCCCCCTCCAGTCCTCTGGACGCTGCCTCTGACAGCCAGGGCTTCCTGCCCACGATGGAGTCAGGATAGTTCCCAGGCGCCCTACCACCAAGTGGCAGCGCCCTCAGGACTTGCCAGCCCCGAGGTGGGCAGCGCGCAGGCCACGGCGAGGGGGACGCGTGGACTCCAGATGTGTTCAGCACAGTGCCGTGTGCCAGAGCCTCCCCCGCGACACCCGCGTCTCACGTCAGTGTCTCGTGCTGAGACGCTTCCGTGACGGCTCCCGCGGCAGCTCTCATGTCGTCTGGCCGCGAGGATGCCAGGCCGCGCAGGCACGGGATTTTGGGCAGAAGTCCGAGGCCCGTCCAGGGTCATTGCAGTCTCCGTCCCATGTGTTTGACGCAGAAGTTCTGATCGTCTTCACTGAATTGCTGACGCTTTCTAATGAGATTGCAGCATCGGGGGTCTGCCTCGTGCACATCTGGACGCCCCGAGATGGAGACAAAGCCCGCGTCCATGGCTGACGCCTGGACAAGGGGGGCTCTTCGCACCCCACGCCCACACTGCCCGCTGTCCACCTCTCACTCCCGAGCCCTCTTCCTGGTGACGTGCCTGTGGGTGGTGGCCTGAAGCTCTGTGAACCTCACAGTAAGGTGCGGGCAGCACCTGCGCAGTTTCCTGCTGCCTGGCTGTCTGCACCCCTGCCTCGCCCACATCCCCCTTGGAAGGGGGCGCCCGTCTGCCTCTGCGCCACTTTGAACCAGCACTAAAACCTCCCTCCTTTTCCAAACCCCGTGGGGACGAGGAGCCCAACACCCCAGAGAAGCCAGTGCCATCACCGCCAGGTGGATGTTCAACCCAGGGCGGGGTAGGGGTGCAGTTCCTCGCCCCGCACCCGCACCCAACTTCTGACCTGCCTGTCGTGTTGGGGTGAGACCCAGTCTGTCCCCAGGAAGCCCTGCATTCCCCTGGAGGAGGTCTTCGGTCTGGTTCATGGGGTGTCAGAGTCGCCCTCACACCGCCTGCCTGGGCCCAGCTGAGACCGGCGGGATGGGGTGGGCAGAGGCCCTGTGGGCGGCCCGGCTGTGTCTGCGCGGCGCCTTCTGGAGCTCGCCAGGGGTTTTCTAAGGGACGTGAGTCGAGGACCGGAAACATGGCCCGTGGCCGGGAGTGGCAAGGGCTGGCCAAGGGCTCACACCCCGTCGCGGGACCCGGCGCTTCCCACGGCAGAGCCCAGGAACAGGGCGGGCAGCTGGAGGCTGCGGAGTCACCCGTGCCGGCTGGCCTGTGACCAGGGATGCGCCTCCGCACCACAGCCGGAGGCAGGAGGCCGCGGCAAGGGATGTTCGGGAAGGCAGCCTCGGCGGGAGAAAACCCGCTGTGCCTTGAATTCCTGACAAGGCCATCTCTGCAGCAGCGGCTTCGCTTTCATGACCAGCGAAGGTTTCCATGCGATCAGCCGTTGCAGCGTGGCGAGTGAGACTCCCCCGGGCTCTGCAGAGACGCCGGCCCTCAGCAGCCTCCCTCTGTCAGCGAGTCAGTCCAGCCCATCCCGGCTACCTGCCTCTCGTTGCCAGGAGAGACAGCATCGGGGGAGGGGCTGGGGGCTTGGTGCAGGTGCCGGCGGCTTCCCAAGGATGCGCTGGGTGGAAGCCACGTCCTCTCCCTCCCTAAGCACATCGGGACAGAAGACCCATTTCTTCACTCCCTACCAACGTTTAGGTCTTTCCGCCACCCAGTCATTTTCATGACTAATCCTCGGATTAGCCTAGAAAATTCCTCAGCACCCCAGCACCGGCTCTGTTCAACACCAGCCCGTGGTCCACGCCAGGGCAGCCCCGAGCTGTGCCGCGGCCGAGGCTCACAGGCCTGCCCTGGCGGCCCCGCTTTCCCGCTGGACTGTCCCTAGTGGATACTGCTCCTTTGCAGTGACCAGCCAGTTGCAACTTAACACTGCATGTTCATTGCAAAAGACAAAAAACAACACCCTGCCAAAGTGAGCGCAGGCCCAGCATGGCAGCCACGGTACCATGGAGGCCGCGGTGCAGCCAGGAGCCCTGAGAACTGGCGAGCCACCCTCCATCCCTTGAGAACCACGAGCTTCCTGGCACCCAACACTGGCTCATACTCGACCTAATATCCCCAAGGTAGTGGCCACGCGGAGGAAGGGCTGCGCTTGCCAGCCGCCACGGCCAGGGCTGTGCTCAGGGAGCGCGCATGTCGGGTTTTCCACTCGTCACTCTCCTTGGACGTCGGGCAGTGGGTGACCCAGGAAGAAGCAGGGGAGAGGCGAGGCCCCGCCAGCGGCCTCTATGCAGGCGTCGTCCTGCTCCCCGAAGCCAGGCCGTCCCCTCGGCCTCACCACAGTGCCCAGGTGAGGTACCCAACTGTGGACCGATGGCGGCAGCAGCAGCTGCCCGGCGCTCGGTGCTGCTGGGCCCGCCCCGGGGCCCCCACTCTTGGATTTACATCACCTCCTGGCATTTTGGAAATGTAAAAATAACAGCCATATAAATAACCGCGTGACCTATGAATTATACGGCAGGAATGGGTCTCGGGGCCAGGCCGGCCTGCTGTCGAGGTGTTGCATGTCCAGCTAATTATAGGGGCGGCCAGCAGGCCAGTGCCGGGGCAGGGGCGGCCGCGGTCCCCCCCAGGCAGGGGAAGAACACAAGGGCTCAGGTTGTTCAGCCTAAGAACGAGGGCACGACCCAGTTTTCTGTGCATTTGGGGTTCTGAAAACGCCGTTTATATCGTCATCTTTTCAGCCTCACCGTGGATGCATTTTCCCTGCTGAGCACATATGTTGGGGGGCTGCCCCCCGTCTGCTGCTTCGGCAGGCCCCAGAGGCGACTTTGCCAATGCGCTGCCCAGGCCATTCCCCCCAGACGTGGTGGCAAAGCCACAGGCGGGAGGAGGCCGCCGGCCCCTCCAGCAGCAGGTGAAGGAGGAGGCGAGACGAGGGCCCAGCGGCCGCCCGAGGGCCGTGTGGAGCGGGGCCCCCAGCCGGCCGCGCCTCCGAGCCAGGCGTGATGGTGGCCGCCCCCCAGAGTGGGTCGGACCGGGGCCCGGTGCGGACGGGAGTCGGCCGGCTCAGACGCAGCGCGAGTGCGAGAGCCACGTGACCCTCGTCCCCCGGCGGCCACGGAGTCCACGCTGGCCACCGAGGATTCGCTCCCTCACCCCAGCAGAGCCCCCGGGTGGGCGCGGGCAGCGGAGAGACGGGCGAGGGAGGCCTCGCAGGTGGTGGGAGCCTGGCAGGTGGAAACCAGTTCTCGGCTGCAGTTTAACCCGGTGCTCGGGATGATGAACACATTCTTTCAACGTCAGGAGCAACACCAGAGGCGCTGACTATGATTTCAATGCATCAGCCGTCTCTGAGAGGGTGAGAGGGCAGCTGGGACTCGGGGTGAGTCTGTACCCCCAGACTGTGGCCCTGTGAGGGGCTTCCTGCTTCCCTCCTGGGACCTCCATTTCCCTGAGAACAAAACTCCATGGCTCCTTGGTGCCTCCCAGGACCTGGGGTGTCCTGTCCCTCCAGGGCTCAGCCTTAGGGTGCTCTGAGCAACACCTGCTCCGGGATCTTCACCCTCGGGGGAGCCTCAGCTGCTCCATCCTCCCGCTCTGAGCCTACACCCTGCAGTGGCGACCCTGACCCCCAACGCAGGCAAAGGCCACCCACTGCCCCTGCTTCCCCCGCAGGAGCGGCCGAGGCTGCCATCCCTGCCTTGCCCAGCTCAGGCTTGTAGCCATGGCGTGCAGGGAACATGGCACCCGCTGCCCGGGCCCCGCTCAGCATCGCACGCCAGCCCTGGGTGTGGCACGTAGCAGGCGCTCAGCAGACAGCCCAACAAAAGAATGAGAAAAATAACCTGGAGAGAAATGAAAGCGAGTATGTGTTGTGTCTTGAGATCACTTTAAAAGCAAAGCTGTTTGGGGCCTCCCTGGTGGCCTGGGGCTGAGTCTCAGGCTGTCGCTGCAAAGGCTCCTGTCACCGCCCGAGCCCATCCCCGGCCAGGGAGCTACCCACATGGCGCGGCAGACCTCTCCTGTCTTACCCGCTGCTCCCCTCAGCAGTGGATTTCAGTAGATCTACCTGTTCTGCTCCCCACTCTGTCTCTGGTGAACCCTCTCACCCCCCGCACCTCTGGCCTGCACCCCAGCTCTTGTGTGCATACATAAATAAATCTCAAAAAAAAAAAAAAGCAAACCTTCATTTACTCACTTTCAGATGATTAAAAAGAAAAACAAAGCACAGCAAAATAGAGTTGGCCCACTCGGCCCGATAGCTACTCAGTCCTAGACTGTCTGGTAGCGGCGCGTGGTGCAGAGCCGCAGAGTTCAGGCCACGGGTCCTGCTGTCCCTTCTCCTTGCAGGCGGCTCCGGCCGGGCTGCCGTCCAGGGCAGGCTCGGGAGCCACAGGGCCCTCGGGTTGACGTGGACTCTGCCTCGGTGGCCAGGCTTGCCTGCTCCGTCTGCGCAGCCTGCAGCCTCCCTCGGCCCGGGGCGCCCCTGTCCTGCCCACCCCCTCCCCGCCTCGCTGCTCCCCCCGCTCCTGCCTAGAGGTTAGGCCGCAGCCACGCGTGCAAGCCCTCGTAGGGCGGCCGTGGAACACGGTGTCAGGGATGCTCGCTACGCCGCGGTATTCCCCGTCCATGTTCTAGTCAACGCGGTCAGTACATTCATCTGAAAACACTCATCTTTCCTAAAATCCGTTTTAGGTTTTGAAACCAACATGAACCTGACCCGCCGAGAGGACCCTGGGACGGCGGAAATCACGGCAGAAACGCAAGACAGGAACGCCAACAGCCACGGGGCTCACCTGGCCAACGCGCTGTGCCGCGCCGTGGCGGCGGAGAACGGGAACCCCCTGCCCAGCGGTAAGCGCAGCGGGCGCGGCGGCCGAGGGGTGCCCGCTCCGTGGCTGTCCGGGGAGAGGGACGCAAAGCAGGCGAGTGAGCTCAGAGCTTAAGACCCGGCCGGTAGGGCGCGAGTCACGACGTTCGCCTGAGGCCGTCGTCAGCACCGCGTTGGTTACGCGGCATTAAAGTCGCGCTCGGCCCAGGCGACTCCGCACAGATGCTCGGGCGCCTGGGCCCGTGGAGCCGGGCTACGCGAGACGCCCGCTGGGGGGGACGTGGACGCTCTGACGGGATTTTTAATTCCGAGAAACATTTCTCCTCTCGCTCTTGAAAGGTAGAGGGAGGACGACACTGAGAACACAGGGGCCGGCAGCGGCAGGTCTTGACAGGAATGGGGGGCTGGATGTGTGCTGTGCAGCCAGCCTCGCGCGCACGCAGCACCCCGATAAAGGCTGAGACAAAGGCCTGTCTCTGTCGCTTGTGAAGGGTCCAGGGCTTCCAGGGTGGCTGACAGGGCTCCGGCAGCTTCTCTTTGAGATCGTCCAGAGGGGCTGGGCTGCAGGTTGTTTGTCTGATGTGAGGAAATCGTCCCGGCTGGACACTGGACAGTCCAGTGGGTGTGGAAGGCAGGAGGGGCCTCTGAGAGAGCCGGGTGCATCCTGAGGGACAGGACGTGGGGGACACTCGCCCGGGCCAGAGGCAGCTGAGAAGCCACTGTGCTGTGGCTGCCTCCTGGGCGTGGGGTGCTGGACGCGTGCAGGGCCCGCCAGGACTGGGGCCAAGGCCTGAAGTGTCCACCCTGAGAGCCAGATGAACAGAACCATACTGGGTTTTTATTTTTTAATATCTTTGAAACATTAGTAAAATCGATGACTCTCTTGCAAGGGTGACAGAAATATAGAAAGTATACGCATGCCCCTGAGTCCAAGGACAAAAGCAAGGGCACAAGTACAGATCTTACAGAAATTTTAATAATAATAATAACAACAACAGTTCCATGCCAAGATAAATCTGTGAATTTAGATAAACAGACACTTCTAAAATAAAAATACAACTATCCAAAATGGAGGAAAGAAATAGGAAAACTGAATCTGTGTGTAAATATGAAATTAAGTGAATGTTTCACTGAATACATTCTGCAGGGAAAACGCTAGACCCAACTGGCATTTCCGTCACGTTCTTTCAAAAGTCTAAGGATGAGATATGACAGACAGTGCTCACAAACTCCTCCAGCAAACAGAACAAACGATAGAAAAAGAGCCCTCCCCGTTTGCACAAATAGTCGCCTGATTTCTGACAGAATTCCCACTGGAGGGCAGCGGGGGAAGATAATCAACTGATATCCCTGTAAGAGACACAATGAGACTTGACCCCTACCTCACACTACACGCCCCAAAACTCTGTGTGTCTTACAGATCTAAATGCGAAATAATAAAAATTATAGAAGAAAATATAGAAGAATATTTAACACCTGAAGCAGGCAAGGAACAAAAAGGCTTCCTAATTGGAATACAAAAGAGTGTTGACCACAAAGAAAAGAATATAGTGAGAGAGAGAGAAAATATGTTTCACCTGTTTAACCAACAAAGGTTCGTATTCAGTATTTACTTAGGTTCAAAGCAAAAGAATAACTGAATATGAAATTAGACGGGAGGGACACGAGTAAGCACTTGGGCCTGTTGAGAGAGCCCAGCTTCAGCGGCAGTTACAGAAAAGCAAGTGAAAGTCGGGCCGGGCCCCACTGCTCACCCTGTGGACTCGCGGCACCTGGCAGGGGTGCGGGGTGAGGCGTGAGGGATGGGGCAGGGGGTGGGGGATTCCTGCAATAGTGAGGACAGTGATTTCGTTTTGAAAAGAAAGATCCAGTAGCAGCTTGGAGAGAGAATGAGGGGAACTTCTGGCCGCGCTCTTCTTAGGTAACTGTAGTGACAATCCCAGAGATTAAAGAAAAGGAAACCAAACCCAGGGAGGTGGAGGAAGAGAGAGGGAGGAGGGGCAGGTCTCAGGGAGTCCTCAGATTCCGGGCCGGGGCGGGGCCGAGCCTGTTGGGCCCAGAACCACCTGTGGCTGGTGCCCGGGGAGGCGGGAGAGGATGGCTGTGGGCAGAGGCTGCTGAGGGCCGTGGAACAGGCCCCCCTTTGCGTGGGAGAGCCTGGTAGCTGGTGTGGTCAGATCAGCCCGAGTCCCTGCAGTGAGGCGGGCTGTCCTGTCGGCAGGGAGAAACACACAAAAAATAAACAAATCAGAATGAAACGAAACCAGAGGAACAAACCCTCCTCGAGACGAACGTGCATGATCTGGGGCTACTTTCCTGGAAATTAATAATGTAAAGGGATCGATGTCTCAGGGTGTCCAGCCTTCAGCATGCAAGGAGCATGGGCCGCAGCCTGCCGGGTTGCATGGACGCGCCTTGGCGGACACTGCGAGCTCGTGTCTCCTGGACCCTCCCGGGGATGGTTGATACTGTGGCCGGCACCGCCCGGAGCCCAGCACTCACTGTCGTTCACGATGGGACAACACCTCAGAGCCATCAGACCTTGCTCTGGGGACCACCAGGAGACCCCCGCCCCTGAGGACGACCCACGCTGGACAAATAGCGGTCACTGCGGACGTCAGCATTCCCGTGGCGGCTCTAAGGGACCGTGGGTGCCTCACAAAGCACAGCCACGTGCTCGCTGAATCAACACGAGGTAGACGTCGGGTCACAGTGAAGCTGTCATCGAACCCAAAATAGCGTTATTTTCTGGGAAACTCCTCTCTGGAATGCCAGGATCTGCACCTGCCTCCGCTGCCCAGAGATAACGCGCTGTCGGCCGGGTGCCGGAGTCCGGCCGTGGGTGCAGGCCGCTCCCGCTCGCCGGCTGCTCCCGCGCGGACGGGAACACAGACGTGGGTCTGTCGGGGGACTTAACTCTTCCCTGGACTCGGGGTTGCTTAGCGTCAGCACGGAGAACGGTTTTGAGGGTGAGGGTGTTTTCGTTATATCGGGGGGGATATTGGGACTGTAAAGGGGTTTATTTTGTGGAAATACGTTCTGAACATTTCGGCGTGTTCGATGTGCGGTCGGACCCGCTCCCTTGCTGCTCAGTGACTGCACTTTGTGGCTGAATGTCAGGGAGTGGCAGTTAGACAGTCACCCATTCGATTTTGTGTTCATCATCCCGTGGAGACCGGCTCCTTTCTGTCCGCCTGTGTCTCCTGCCGCACCGTGAGGGCGGTCTGTGGCGGGAAGGGGCTTGCCCAGGGAGGGACTTGGTGAGCCCTGGCAGGGCTGCAGCTCGGTCGGTTGGGGGTGCGGGCGCCGTGGCTAACATGGTGCCCCGGGGCGCCCCGCCGACTCTGGGGGCGGCCACTAGCCAGGCAGCCTCGGGTCCCGGCCATGAAGACGCGGCCACACGTGCCCCGCAGCTCCGCTTCCTCCCCGGACTCCGTCACCTCCAGCCCCTGCTGCTGTGTCCGCCCCAAGTCTCGTCGCCCGGAGAGCCGCGCCGTCCCCACAGCCTGGCCGACCGCGCCGTTACTGGTTTTGCGCAGCGGCGGGTGGACTCGCCAGGGAAAAGCCCTTTTGGGAAGCCCGCCCCACGCGCCCGCTGCCTGGCAGCATTCTGACGTCGTCTTTGAGATGATTTCACGGGCCGCACTTTGGGATAATTTCTGATTGGATCACACGCAGTTCAGTGTCCACACCGCGTTGGGCAGTCGGGGCTGAAGGTGCCGGAATGAAGCTCAGACGCTACGATTCCCAGCAGGTGCTTCACCCTGTGCCGGCTCCAGGCCCCGCCCGAGGCCCCCACCCCAGGCCCTGGGCCGCTTCTGCCCCGGACCCAGGTGCCTCGGCCCCCAGCAGGCATCACGGAGGACCTGCCCTTGGGGCTGTTTCGGGAGCTCAGTATGTGACGCCTCCTCGTGGGACGCTAGCGCGCCCTGCTGCCTGTGACGCACACATACACACGTGTACACGCGTGTGCATGATGCGGGGGCAGTGGACCTCGGGACAGGGGTGGGGCTCGGGGAAGGTGTGCTTCATGCCCTGGCTGGAGCACTGAAACACTGTGCCTGGAGAAAGGCAGGAGGAAGCCTGGCAAGAGTTGGGTGCGCATCGGTCAGGCAGGCATGGCTCAGGCACCTGCTGCGTGCAGGCCCGGCGCGCCGCACGGAACAGGAGGGAGTGAGCAGCCTGGTGTGCAGAGAGAAAATGGCCACACGTGGCCTGTGTGTCAGGAGGACACGGAACAGAGCCGCAGGGGGTCGGGTCAGCCCCGGAGACGGTGACCTGCTCCTTGTCACTACCTGGAGGAGGAGCCGGGGTGTCTCCACGGGAAGCATGGGGTCTCCAGAAGAGACACAATTCAGACAGGAAGGGGCCCCTTCCGCGAAGATTTAGTGTCTGTCGCCTTCACGGGAGGGAGGCGCTTGGCCGGCCGTGAAGCAGAGGGTGCGCGGGTCAGTGGAGAGCGCTCCGTGCACGAGGCACCGCACGTGGGGAGACCATTTCGGGAAGGGTGTCCACATTGAGAGGCGCCGTCTGCGACTTCGGGGAGACAAACCAGATTGCACCACCCCTGAGGCCAGGAGGGCAGAAGCCCGCGCGGACGCCCACAGCCTGCGTCCCGCGCTCCGGAGGGCGCCGTGGGGCCCGGAGCCGAGGCCGAGGGATTGAAGAGAGGTCTGAGAACTGAAGCTGACGGGGGCCAGAGCACCTCAGCAGGGGCCGCGGGGGCTCATTCCTGGCGGGATTTGGGGCCCAGGGCCGGGAAGGGTTACAGCCCCTGACCATGGTGCGAGGACGGTGACTGTGCCGTTGGGGACACGTTCTGAGGCCTGCGTCTTCGGGGAGCCCACCCTGGGGACAGCGCCGAGCGACAGCCTGCACGGAGGTGGCCCCGCCTGCCCTGCATGTCATCTGTCCTCTGCCCTGCGTGCCTGTGACCCTGGTGTGCGCTCCGGGATGAAAAGCAAACGAGAAAAGCAGCATTTCAAGGAAGGTGGTGACGCGGGGATTATTTATGGCATCAGAAGGGAAAACACAAAGAGAGCTGGGAAAGCTCCAGCCGCGGGCGCGTGTGGAACGCCGCGCCTTGAGCTGAGGACAGCACGAGCGCAGGGACAGGTGGTCAAGAGCGGGGCACAGAGGTCCAGTGTCAGAGAGCCGGGGCCGGGGCAAGGGACGTGAGGGTCAGCGGGCGCGGGGAGCATGAGCGCAGGGCGCGGCGCCAGCCTCCACTGCCCCTCCCTGAGCTGATGCGGGTCCCTGCGGAGTGCGGGATGTTGACGTGCACATTTGAACTCAACGGGACAAAACCCAGTGCCGCCCCCTCCCCGCCCAGTCACCCCGCTCTGCAAACTTCAGATAAGCCCTCGGGGGCCTGGGTGTGGACTTCAGTGTCTCTTTCCAAAATCGCGGCACCCTTCTCCAGGGGCTCCCGGGCTGGTGCACACCCAGCTGGGGGCAGGATATGCCCCCGGGAAGTGCCTCCGGGCGGGTAGGGAGGCTGAGTGGCAGCCCCTCCCGGGAGAAGGGGCACAGAGCCTCCTGCCTCTGTCTGGACCCCTCGAGGCTAATGATGCAAGCTGGGGGGAGCAGCAAGGTCGGGGTCTCCGCATCCCGCAGCTGGGGTCAGCGGGGCTAGGAGGCGTGTCCCCCGGCTGGGAGGAGTGTCCCCCTGGGAGGAGCTCCCCCTTACCAGTTAGAAACTCGTGCTCAAGAATTTACGGGTGAAATAAGTGATTTCTGGGATTTTTCAAAAGATCGTGACAAGTACTTGCAACAGAGCTGAAGCAGGACACTTGGACCCTGCGCGCGGGTGGCCGGGCGGCCGCGCCTCCCTCCCTTCACGTCCCCAGGACGTCTTTGCAGTAAAAAGGCTTGAGGTGGGTGATGGTGAATCAGCTACGCGGCTGCGGTCCCGGCGGCCTGTCTCTGAAGGCCTGATGATGTTGACTGTGATTATTATTCCGCGGCTATTCGCGAGCTCGTTAATTTTTATACATGGTCTTTGCCAATACTTTACAATCTGCGGGTGGGTCCATTATTTTGATTTGCAGATTGTTTTAAGAATAATGTCTGCATTTAGTGTATTTAAATGTTCTGTATTGTTCTGTTTTCATTTGCATTTTGTGTTCAGGACCCTTCTAGCATGAAGGCCGGTGCTGGCACGGGGGTGCCCCTTCAGGCCTCCCGCCAGGCCTTGCGCCTGGCCCCGCGTCGGGGTGTCCGTCTTGCAGAAGGACTGCGGCTAACACGGGAGCAAAGAAAACGCTCTGTTGGCCAAAAATAAAAACATCTGTCTTCAAACCTCCTTTGCACTTCAAGCTTCCAGCAGCTCACGCTGCTGCCACAGTGACCCCACGAGGCTCTCTGCCCAGGACTTCAGCCCGGGCTCCTGGGGAGACGCCTGCCGGCACCCAGGCTCCCCGCTCCCTCCTGGGCCCCAGCCTTGCACTCCCCCCACTGCCACCCTCACCCCCTCCAGGGCTGGGACTCGGGGTACCGTTGGCTGTGGCTTGGTCTGTGCGGATGGCAGCTCCCCACCTCCCCCTCGTGGGATTCCACCCCCCACCCCGTGTGAAATGATGTCACCTGACTCCTAAGCCTAGTGCGTCCCCTCTGCCTTCACAGCCCCCACCCCATAGGGAAACAAGCCCCGTCTGTCAGTCTGTCAGCCCCAGCGCCCCCCTCCCTGTCTCCCTTCCTCGCCCCGCACTCTCATCGGAGGAGCTTCGGTCCCAGAAGGTCTCGCCCCTTCAGTACCGCTCGGCTCCATTTTTCTGTCCTCTCCCCTTTCATGAACCGCGGCTGTGGCTCTCCGCCGTGGCACGCGTCCTCGGGGAAGCGCGTCACTCCGTGTGTGCTCCCGGTGGCCGCTGCGGCGCGGGGTCCGCCGGTTTAGACAGTTGTGATCGTCACGCGCAGCCTTGTCTGTCTCCAGGACACGCCGTCGTGTTAACCCCTCTCGTGCCCCTGCAGGTTCGCCCGAGGAAGACCGCGCCGCCCGCTTGTGTGTGAGCAGCCAGGCCAGCCCCCCGTTCCAGAGGCCGCGAGAGAGCCACAGCTCACAGGTAGGGCCTCCGCGCGCGCCTTGGCGGTGAGAGCGGGCCAGGTGACCAGACGCGGCAAGTTAGGGGGGACGGGCCGTCCCGCTCACTCTCTCCGCCGGCCCCCGCCCTCCCCTTCTCCCAACACCCACCTCCTGCTGGTCTCCGAAGAGGAATCGTTGTGGCAGACCCCAGCTCAAAAGCGTGGGTCCTCTGCCCCGAGGGGGGAATCCAGCAGGCGCAAGGGCTGCAGTCGGGCACCAGCGTCCTTCTCCTGCTGGATTCTGTTTAAACTTCTCCTTTAATGACAGTCTTCCCGAGGGGGCTCCGCGCTCCGGGCGCTCGCAGCCGGCGGTGTCAGTGGTCACCATCGTGCTCAGGGAGGAGCTTTGGCCCCGGAATTCTTCTTTTTATGAAGCTGCAGGACAATATTCATCGTGTCAGCCATCTTCAGAAAATCGTCCCTGAACCCTGCCGTGCCCAGATGCGCCCACGAAGCCGCTCTCCGGCGAAGGGCCAGCTTCCCTCTGAAGGCCGGGCGTGCCCTGTTATTGCCAGCTGAGATCTTCCTAAATGACACTGATGAGCTAGAGAAAAAAATCAATAATTTCAATCTTAAAAATAAACCTTGCAACAGGCCATCTGCTGAAATCACTCACACTGATGCATGGGCCCTGAAATAGAAAGAAAACGCTGACTGGAGATAATAATAGATCGCCACGGCTCCCCTCGGGCCCTGGGACATGCGTGGCCCTCACCTGTGATCTCTGCAGCTGCTCCATCGCGGCGGCCCCAGGGCCCGCTGGCTGGGAGTCCGGGCGAGGTCCGCGGGCGCAGACGGCCGACCGCCCCGCCAGGACCCCGCCCCCGCGCTTCTCTGGGGACAGGACGACTTTTGAGAGAAGACCTGGAAACAGGCATCTCCGTGACTGCCCCTCTCACCTTACGTGGGTCTGGCTGAGGAGAGGCCGGGAGGTGCCAGGAAGACCGCCCACCGCCCGGTCTCCACGGGGCTTGTTTGGAACCCCAGCTCGCTCCGCCCCAGCCCCACGCGCAGGCTTTCAAGGGACAGAGGCCAGGCCTCTTGACCTGTGGGCAGTGCGGGGTCTCCGGTGCCACTGAGGGCAGAGCAGGCGCACTGGGCACGCGCATCTGGGGTTCTGCTCTCGCAGTGAGATGGGGAGTCTGTGAGTCAGACCTGGGCAGATGGGCTGGCAGCCGGAATCACACGTTGGCTAAGAGGGCTAGACACCCTCTTCGAGGATGTCTGCATTGTAAGTAGCATCATCAGTGCTTTTAGGGAAGGTGCGTCAGGAGACGTTATTGGAGGCTACAAAAATGAACATAAGAACTAGACCTAGTGACTTGCCAGAGATCGCGGGGGGCTTCAGAGCCCACAGCTGGACGAGCTCCTGTGTCCTGTTTCTGCAAACAGACTCGCCACGACCCACTGAAAGGGATGGCGGCTTCCTCTGGCCTTCTCAGAAAATTGGAAGTTTCTGGTCAAGGCAAAACTCTCAGGGGCCAGGGTGGGCACATGAGCTCTCAGAGAAGGGGCTCCCCTGCCCCCCGCAGCTGGACACATGTATGGAGATGGCCTCACCACAGTCCATCTGTGACGTGGGTCAGGAGGCGACGGGCAGGGCTGGACGGTGCGCTGCGCCACCTGCTCCCTGCTGCTTGCACCCTTGCCGCTTCTGTTGTGGCCCGTCCCCTGCCAGGAGCGAAGCGTGCCTCTGCCGGCAGCGTCCAGAGCTGCGTCTGTGTTTTGCAAAAAAGAGTTTTGACTGACACAAGAATCGTATTTATTGGTATTCCCCCTTCAGTTTCTATCCAGAGGAATGACTTTCGCATAAAGCACACAAACGCGTTGCTCTCAGCGTGAGTGTAGAACCTTCCTGGCCCGGGCAGAGCCTTGCAGGATAGTAGTGGTTCTTTGCTCAAGATGCCCAACACAGAAAGTGGGGCTGATAATAATTCTTTCCCATCATCACTTTTTATTCCTTGGCACAGCATAGCACCTTCACACAAGTGTAGCGAAGATGACGCTCACTTAAAGATTAAAAGCCGTGGAAGCTGAGACGCAAGCCGAACCCCAAATCCTGTGTTCACCTCTGCTCCCCCGGGGGTCCCCGCCGTGAACCGTCGGGGTGAGGACCAGGGGCCGCGGGTCTGCCGGGAATCCCGCAGCGGCCGAGGGGCGGTGGCCGGCCGGGCCCTCAGAGCTGGCGTCTCATAGGTGGGGAGCCAGGACAGGGCGCGGCCTTCGGCTGCGTTTCTGACGTGAATGTGCCTTTACCTGTGGGTCTGCTGCTCCTCAGCGGCCTGTTCGGCCGCCGTTACTGTTCCCTGCAGTTCTGCGTTCCTGCGCAAGGTCAGGACTGCCCGGTCAGTCAGTCAGAGGAGCCAGACCTTACAAGGCGCCTCTCAAATCAGCCAAGAGCAGAAAGCCCGGTCACCCTGGGAAGGCGACGCATCACGAGGGATGACCAGGAACGCCCGGGGGGCCGAGGACCGATGTTGGACCAGGGACCCCAGAAGCTGATCAGTGGAAAGCTTTGTTCATAAGATGGAAACCAAGGCCGGGGAACTGCGCTCGATCCCACAGACAGCGCTGAGTCATGGGAGCAGATGGCAAGAGGCTGGGGGCAGACTCTCAACGGACACCAGAGATGACAGAGCACATTTTCCGGTGCCCCCCCTTTCCTCCCGCCCTCCCTCCCCACGCCGCTGCAGCTGTGTGATTGTTCTGTCAATGCAAAGGCCGGGGTCTGGCTCTTCGGGGCGCCCTGCCACCTGCCTGCTCCACGGCTCCGTTTGTCAGAGCGGGGCTGCCAGTGCAACGTTTACCTGCCAGGCTGCCCGAGACCAGGAGAGCCGCGGGCGCCGTTGGCCTGACGCAAGGCCTGACGCAACCCCTTTGAAGTGGTTTAGGGCCGGGGCGAAGGGAGCCTGGACCGAGAAGGACTTGGTAGCGCGTGTGCTGTGCCTGCAGCCCTGCTGACTCAGAGGCGGGAACCTGGCGCAGCCCCCGCGTTATAAATAGAGCAAAAGCCAGAGGCCCGGCGGGGAGGGCCTGGGAGGAGGGGGTGGGTAAAGAAAACGCCCAGTGCTGGCCCTGCGTGAAGTCGCCGGTTACGCCTCCCTTTAGGGGCCACACCTGACACTGGAAAATGAGCCGTTTCTTTCCCACTCGAGTCCGGCCTGTCTGTGCTCACATCCCCACAGTGCTGGGCCGCGCCCACCGGCGGCGCTGTCCCCTCGGCCCCCTCCACAGGGACTGCACGGCTTATGATCTTGGGTTTTTTATTGTGGGCACTTACATTTCTTGCCAGACATTTTTTATATTCCTTTGTTTTTTGTGGTTTTTTTTTTTTTTTTGCTTTTTTTGTTTTTATTATTTTTATTTTATTTTTATTTTTTTTAAAGATTTATTTATTTATTTACACAAGCACTGGGTACAGTCAGAAGCGCGGGAGGGCGAGAGAATTCACCAGAGCCAGAGCGGGGAGCAGAGCAGGCAGAAGGACCGACTGCTGAGGGGAGCAGCGGGCGGCAGGAGAGGTCTGCGCGCCATGAGGGACCCTCCTCCGGTGGCCGGGGAGCAGCCGGGGATCGAACTGGCTCTGCAGAGGCTGCGGGCAGCTTCGCAACCCAGCGCTCAACCTCCGCACCACCGGGGAGGCCCTCCTTTGTTTTTTTTAAGACCATAAAAACACGTCGTTAATACCTCTCCTCTTCGGATAGTCATCGTGAGAAATCTTGGATGGTCTCTGATGAAACAGGGGCAGCCCCAGGCCCTGGTGAGATCAGGGCTGCGTGGACACAGCGCCCAGGAGAGCGGCGGATCCGCGCACTGTCCCACGTCGGGAAGCACGTTGTTCCGCGTCCGGCTCACTGAACCAACCTCTTCGTCGTGTCACATGTGGAGGAAACGAGCTTGCAGGGCACACGCGAGCCCGGCCTCCTCTCATGCTCACCCGGTCTGCTGCGGCTGCTGGAACACACCGCAGCTGCGTCGCAACGGGGCTGCATGAAAATCGCCATGTGGACGTTTAGTTGAATGGTTAGGCTCCTCCCGAGCTCACGCAGACCCGAGGCGGGGAGCCCCTCCAGGAGGCCGTGCCTCAGGCTGCCAGGCGAGCCGCTGGCCCGGGGGGCTCCAGCAATTGACCCCAGGCTGGGCCTCCAGGGACGCGCGGACTCGCTGCCGTGAGTGGGCTTGGTGGCGAGCCTTAAACGGTGGCATTTTCCACAGAAAAGTGTCCGTCACTGGGTGGGTACGTAGAAAACTGTCACATAAAACACAGGCAAACCTGAGATTTTCTCTGCTTCCTTATAAAATTGAGCTGCTTGCCGGCAGCATAGCTCTGCTAGCGAAAGCACCGTTATCAGCGAGGAAAGCAGAAACTTAACAAGTGCTCCGAGGGAAAAACCACAGTGCCCATTCCGCGTCCCAGGAGGCCGAGGTGGCGCGCACCTGGGCCTGCTTACCTGCCGGGGAAGGCGCCGCCTGCTCGAGGCCTCGGCTGCGAGGGCGTCCTCCCAACGGGAGATTCTCTGTTCTTGGCTACTTCCGTTGAGCTTTCAAATTACAGAAGAAAAGAAGTAAGGGAGAGTCCGTATTTGTAGACCTGAGTTCTTTGGCACATGGTAACTTGAAATCACCATCTTGGTTCTGACCTGAGAAGTAGGTTCTAGAACAGGTGAGCCTGGCACCGGGGGTCGGTCACGTAAGAAGCCCAGATGATGAAGGCCAGGTGCGTTCAGGTGGGCGTTATGGGCCTGCAGGTGATTTTTGTTGTGTGTTTCGGAAAGGCCTCTAGCCTGCCAGGGAGCGCCGTGCGTGTGTCCCGCGGAAGCGGGCACCCGCGTCGCCTTGTTCGTGGGGGTGGAAGGCGCCTCCTGAGAGCAGGGCACGCTGTGAGAGTCTAAGTCGCGTGGGGCCCCGCGGCCTTCCCCCTCTGTAGTCCTTGGAAGCGCCTGTGTGAGCTGACGGGCAGAGGGAAGCTCCTGGGAGATAA